CATGTATATTCGATTCACAGTGCACACGCTGACTACTGAAACTAACGGAAATCAAGGACTTAACCTGCTGGGCAAATGGCATTAACACCCAAATACTGTCACTGGGCAAAGAAACTGGGAGTAAGGCATACCAAAATGAAGGGAACTATTTGGACTTGTGACTTTTCCTACACATTTTTAGAGGCCATTCCCCCTTAACGAATTCCAGTGTAATTTCAATATTCTGGAGATTTGGTCTCCTCTTTCTTCATGAAGCATGCACTGCTAGTGACCTGTAAAACTCTCCGGGCCAGACCCTTCCAAGATTTTTTTTAAAAAAAAAAAAATAAACAAATAAATGAAAGGCAAGCTTATATCCACATGATTTGGAAGTAGGAAAAAAGGGTATCAGAGCAGCAGGTGTACATATTAGGAAGAAAATAGCATAGTAAGTAAGACGGATGGATTGGAATATTCTTCTACCTCTTGTTGCCCTGAAAGGTCATCACTTCTCCACATGAACATTATAGTTTAAACAAAACTCATCCTCACAATGGACCTTTGTTTTCAGGAATTCAGAGGTAATATCCCATAGGATAACAGCATACATGAAAGATGGAACACTGTCACTTGTGATCTTTCTTCTCCCTCATTTTCTCAACTCCTCCTTACCTACCACTCCCTGAGCAGAGGAAAAACAAAACTGAGACTTCCTTCTTCATGCTGACAGCCTGGGTAGGAACCAGGCTCACCACTCTCCCAACTGCTGCTGATGGGTTTTAATGGCAAAGGAGGACAAAGCACTGCAGAGAGCAACAGGAAAAAAGGGCGCATCAGAGCTAGGTCTTGTTGGAATTCCTACCATCCCTAATCATAGAGACTAAGACAAAAGGAAGATGACCGTTAAGATGAAGGAGTACAGCTAGGACAAAATTTTAAAATCTGAGGAGGGAAAAGAAAAAACAAAACCCAAAACAAACAACCCCCCAAAACCCCAAAAACAAGCACAAAAACCCAACCAAACTCAAATCAAACAAAACTCCGAAACCCGACTGTGCAGGCAAAATGGCAATCCAAGATCTGTGAAGAAGCAAGTATCTTCCAGATAATCCTTTCAATAGGCAGCCTGAAGTGACTGATCCAAGTGGCAATTTTCCAAAGTTCTTCAAAATTAACATGCATATCTAAATTATTCTGAAAATGACAAGCCCAAGCCAGGGGGAACATTAGAACTTGGAACTACAAGTAATTCCTGAACAGAGGATATGAGACTAGGTTTGCCTTTCACAGACATATAAAGAATTTGGTTTTCTTCACTGTTGCCACTGCTGGTTGTCTAAGAAATGCATTGCCAAAGCCTGCCAATGTGGATTTAACATCATCCAGCAGTACCACAACACACACTGACATACATCTGGAAATGAAAGCAATGAACTAAGGCGCTCATCCTCTCCAAAATAAAATCATGTCTATACCTTCCGAGCTGTGTTCCAACATCAGTCATACATAAATTTTAGAGTGCATGAAATAAAAGGAACAAGGGCCAAAGAAAAGGCAACAGAAAATCCATTATATGTTCTGTAACAAAGTAAAGCTCTAGCTAGTATCTCTGATGCTACTTAACTAAACAGTACCATCAGACTTCAGTTTGAATATTGACCCTTCTCCATGGAAACCAGCCCATACTTACAAGACATCATACTTGAATTTTGTTGCAAAGTCTTCCTCAGATTCTGCTTTACTTATTCCCAGCAAAATCCAGAGATTATATTCATATACAACACAAAAAATGCAACAGTCTGTAAGGCAAAGGAATGCCTCGTACGCCCTCTGAAACAATCTCAGGGTATCATGAAAACAAGGCATACCCAAATCCTTAAAAGGTTACAACGCACCTTACAGCACTGTCAGTTCTGCTAGTGAGCTCATGAAAGACTGGTACATATTCATCAGCATTTTTCTAGTCTGTTTGAGAGATCTCAGCCTTCCTAAACCATGAGAAGTGGTTATCGGCATCAGCAGGGCAAATTTAAAACTGTGCTGCAAGATGGTGTGTACCTTCTAGTTTTGAAAAAAAGTACAGGACAGAAGATGATGATTATTCGTAAGAGAAAAAGAAAGCAGCAGGCCTATCAGGTATTTTTGGTAGTTATTAGTAAGCAGCTTTAGCAAAAAACTAACAAAACAGAGTCAACAAGAAGTCAAGAACAGAGAAAACTGAAGCTTGAGAATCCTATTCCATTCAAGGATTCAAAAGACTTTAAGGGTAAAGCCAAGCACTGGAAATAGTATTGTTAACATACAGTCCAATATAGTCACCTCTTTGGTTACACATTTTGAAAGATGGAATGCCAAATACTGAGGCAGCAGTTCCTCAGTGATACCCTAGAGACCTATATAGGTCTCTACTGAACTAATATATTAAGAAAGTAGCCTTGATAAATGGGAATTTTACTCAACCTATTACTTACTACCATAATACTTATCTGTTCGTCCCTGCCAAATTATGATCAACAAGATGACACAGTGAATTCAAAAGCAAGTCTGGCTTTGCAACCAATTATTATTATTATTATTAACTGTATGAACACAAGAAGCGATTTATCAAGACAGAGATAAAAAAAAGAAAAAAAAAAGCCAGATATAGTCATAGGAGACCTGCACCCAACTACAGACAGAGGAAGGGGGGAGAAAAAAAAAAAAATCAAAAATCTTAGAACAGACAGCAGACAGAAATTAGGACAGTACAAATAAAAGCTGACATTAAGAATTACTATAAAATAATTGTACAGTACAAAATTCGAATTTATTACAGTCGCAGTGGGAATGTAACAAGTTTATGAAATTATTAAGGATTTAAAATTAACACACTAAAATTATGTCTATATGAGAAATTTCTATTAAATTCATGGCAGCAAACATCTCTCAGTACAGTGAAAATACTCTATTAGTAAACAATAAGCTGTGCTGTAAACAGGCATGGTGACACCTGACTGCAATAGCCAACGGACATTTCAGGAGAACAAAAATCACCGGCATTACAGAATACCAGGAAATATTTCCACAGTTCTATCAGCTCTATCCTATTAGTTTTCTTTTTTGCATCTATTTAGAGTATGCTCCCCCGGCCCA